TAATACACATCCAGCGGTTCCAGCTCCAACGATAATAAAATCATAAACTTCATTGGCCTTGTTGAATGTCTGACGTTGACCGCGGCAATGAATACTCTCTGACCAAAGTTTACGAATATTAGCATCTGTCTCTAATTCATTTGCCAATTTCGAATTAATGGCGGAATTCATATTTTTTAACAATTTGATCAAGAGAATTTTTTTTTTGAAGTATTGTATTTATTATTTAATATAAATTAAAATAAGGTAAGAAATTTCCAAATTTGTCCAACAATGAAATTACTCGATTTGGATTAACTTTTGACAATCAAAAAATCTAAAATAGAACAAGTACATGTAATTATTTTAAAAGGTTATTAATTTCAAATTGAAATTTCAGGTTTCGATTGATTGTAAGCTTTACTCTATTATACATTTTATATGGGATATTGTCCTAAAGAAGGAATTCTAAAAAACAATTTGCACATCATATTATGTCGTAATTTAGTTCAATCCGTCTTAAAATTTGCGTAACCAGAAATTTGTAATTGCAAATCAAAATTGGCGGAAATAAAAATAGGTTCCAAAAATTACGCAAATTCCTTAACGAATTATAGACGCTAAATCCTAAATTGTTTAGTTTATTAGAATATAGTATTGCAGAAACGAAAATGTTAAATGCTTTCTGGACAATAAGCCCTTATATAAATCAAGTATGATAGTTTCTCTAAAAATTTATCAAGCTTACCTATCATCGTATCTTATATCGAAAAAATTTGCTTTAGATTTTGATTAAATTAGCTAAAGACTTAGAGCGAAGAGGCTTTCATCCTTTTTAATTGATTGACAATTCATCATGTGATTGCTAATTTTGAATTTGAATTCCGAAATCGCTGACCATAAATATGTCGTAATGAACGCAACGATCTCAACAATCTCAATGATTGAAACATGAGTCGCAATGCCAAAAATGACACATTTTATCGTCATTTGGCGCAGTGACACAGTCAATTTCCTTAGAATGTTCATGTGTTCTGCCAACACATTAAATTTTCTGCTTACTATATATTAGATGCATTGATTGTTGATATGATTACATGATTTTATCCAATACGTATTACATTCTTCTTTCCCACACAACGACAATACATATATTACAAGGCTAAAAATTAAAAATATAAAAATATCAAACTTTATTAACGTTTAATATCCTAGACACCAA